TGTGGGAGTGGAGGAGCCGACGACCTTGCAGTTTAATGTTAAAATGTGAGACTGGGGAGCCGCCGAGGGAACTAGATGGGAAGAAAGGGACTGGGGACCACGACACGATCAAACGGGGCAGCGAGGCACTGCAGAGCGCCTTCCTCTCCCGAAGCGCGGGGTCCCGCTCCCTGAACTCAGGCTGCGGAACTTCTGTAGCCGCGCGCCAAACAGGACGCGGCAAATTCCAGTCCAACCTGAGCAGTTTAGCCACTTAGCGAGACCCTATCTCAAAATAAATTGTAAAAGTACTGGAGATGTAGCTGGGTGCAAAGGCCCCAAGTTCAATCCTCACTACCTAAAAATAAAAAACTCCTTAGCTTGCAGAGAGAAGTGGAGGCGTCCTCTAGAACATCTAGGGCCTGGCTGAGTCCTAAAACCACAAACTACATCTGTGGAAAAACAAAGTGAGAAGTTATCTCTTTCACTCAGTGCAAGAAATATTTACGGAACACCTGCGGTGAACTAGACAGCAGTTTAAGATGCTGGCGAAACGACACAAGCAAAAGAAACCGAAGGTTCCGCTGGCCTGGGAGAATTTGTACGCAGTTTCTCCTCAGTCATCTTCCTCCACTACCTCTGCCACCGTTCCACCTCCCTCTCACCCCAAACACACACACAAAAAAACAATCTTTGGCTTGATGATTCGCGATGTAAATTTGCTGCTTCTCCTTCCAGGAGAAGACCTGAGGAAGGTGGGATTTTAACAGACTGAAAAAATATTTAATTTCATGGTCTCGGGAATATGTCATCTTTCAGTGAGGATTTGCTCACAGAATTAATTCCAGGTATGACTACACCTCAAATCCTACAAAATTTACACCATGAGTATTTTATGGACTAGAAAAAGATGAAATCCTTTCTTCAGAGTTTATATTCATAAGAATATAGCACCAAATATATTTATTTCCTTTTGTATAGTGTGTATGCTGAATGTTTTGGAAAGTGGAAGAGAAAGAATTTGCTTGTTAAATGTTTTTTT